CTGAGAGACCCCTTGGAAATCACAAAGACAAAGAAGCCTCAAGCTGCACGGTCTCCACGCACCACGGGAACTACATTGCAAAGGCTCCAACCAGGCCTGTCGATTCAAGGGCATATGCCCTTAATGCCCTGAACATTCCGGGCTACTTTTGCTCCAGCTCGACTGCCAAAAGTGCTAGATTCGCACTGCACCCGTGCCACTAAGTGCCGCGCTCGACCCTTCCCCGGATGCGTTAAGGGCCCAAACCAGGCCTTCCCCTGTCTCGAAGTTTTGGTTTCTGGTTGTAGGACCCACTACCCCCCCAAATTTGCCTAACCTCACCCACTTTCTCCTTAGGTTGCACGAGAGGAGTGGATTTTTCCCTTAGCGTTTTCTAGCCAATCCTGTGTTTGTAAAGCGTCTAAGCCAGCTTGGAGCACCCGAATTGTCCCTTATTGTCTAAGTGTCCCCCCCCCCCCTTTCTTCCTGGGGTTGCACGAGAGGAGTGGATTTTCCCTTAGCGTTTTCTAAGCCAGCTTGGAGCACCCGAATATCCCCTTAGCGTCTGAGTGTCCCCCCCCGCCCCCCCCCTTTCTCCTTAGGTTGCACGAGAGGAGTGGATTTTTCCCCTAACATTTTCTAGCCATCCTGCATTAGTAAAGTGTCTAAGTAAGCTTGGAGCACCCGAATTTTCCCTTAGCGTCTTTAATCCCCCCCCCCCCCCCCCCCCCCCCCCTTTCTCCTGAGGATGCACGAGAGGAGTGGATTTTTCCCTTAGCGTTTTCTAGCCATCCCGTGTTTGAAAGTCAGCTTTAGAGCACCCAAAATTTCCCTTCGCGTCTAAGTGCAAACTCTTCACAGGCCCGGATTTTAAGTTTTCACTTTGGGGTGCGCCCGTGACCGTTAAGGGCGCCCAAACGCTCAGCTACACCAAAAACAGGGTCAGATGGGGAGGAGCTGGGGAGCGCAAGTATGGGTCCTAGGAACTTTGACAGGCCTGGCTCCAACACAACAATGACTGCCATGTGGTGCAAACGACAACACGAAACCCACCTGGCACGCTGTTTGGCACCGCTGGCAGTGAGCGATGCTTCGGGAATGCCCTAAACCCGGGAGCGTTGGCACAAAAGTTGCTCAACAGACCAATCGTACCAGTGCGTATGCAGCCGCGCTGCTTCTACGTTGGCGCGCCAGTGGGCCTATACAAATGGTCCAATAGGACCGTGGTGAATTTTGTCTTGGTGGCGCGCACTGTGGCGGAATCATCGGTTTAAAAAAAAGGTCCGGTAGAAGTGTAATTGGGCCCGTACCCTGATACTGCCAGTGTAGCCAGAATTGTTACCATAGTAGTTTACAACGAATCCTGATGTCACTAGGGTAAAAATCTTCATAGCCTGATCATCACAAAAACCCCTCGCTTTTGAATCGCTTGGAAACGGGTCGAATTGGTTTCAGAAGTTGGGTTGCGTGGGTTGTCCAACTTTTTTCGCCCAACCACCAGCGAAAATATGTCGTTCTCAAATTTCGATCTGCTTTCGCGCATCCGAACCGACTCGCGAGACATTGTGCGCCTCGGCGAAGTGAAATTGGCCCAATTTCGGTCAATGTCAGGTGTACAGTACTCTTTTGATCAGGTTGAAATAGCAGTTTCGAGAATGGGGTGCGTTGGTTTCCCGCAAACATTTCTGGGTCACCGAGCCACAACTTTGCTTGGCGCACGACCAGACGTGGCGATAGGGCGCGTTTGGGCCCTGCAAAATTGGTTTCGGATAGGAGTAATTATGGACCAAGATAAGCCTACAGTGTTTATTTTAAACAAAATTTACATGAAGTCATTATTCCGTCTTATAATATTGAAAGGCTGCTGGTTAAACAATCACATGTGCATGTAAATATATAACCTGTAAAGTCATAAGTTGTTATTGCATGTAATCTTGCCTCTTATTACAAAACCAGTTTGGTTGTATATGAAAAAAGTACAGATGCGCTTATGATTTATTTCTAATTTAGCAGGTACTTGTTAAGATAGAATGCATTGTCGCTGTGGTAAGACTTGATAATGTGCACCTGGCGTAGTATGCTTTCAGTGTCAATCACTGAGTAGCGCGATACCCCAGTTGCCCACCTAAGACGTTTGCACCCTGTTTTCGCATCCTCACCTGCGCTTGACCAGTACTTTACATATGCCCACTCCTTCGTGCACCCCCTCTCTTTCGTATGGAAAAGCAACAAGAGCCTTCGGTACCACTCTGTCTCTGCACTAGTCGCTGTTGTTCCCACGATGGCAACATCAGAGAACCACGGCCTAGAGTGAGACAGCGGGGTCGCTTTCACGAAATGTGCTACACGGGCGAAACTCGCATCTTCTGCAGCAGGGATGGCAAGTGTTGTGTGAGCCTGCAACCAGTAAGAGACACAAATCAGTACAAATAACATTCAGTTACATATGGTATCTGCTTGATGTCACCATTGTCACAACTTACACGAACTTTTGTTGGCCTCAGCTAGCGTCGAAGCAATGCACCCGCAAAGGCATGGTGTGCCTCGCTGTGGAGCTTCGCCCACTCACGGACAAACCAGTTGGCAATGGGAGTGACGTCATCGGGTTTCACGGGGAAGAAGTAGGACTCCTTCACCATCACTCGAGCTCCATCCTCGATGGCCTGACACATGTCAGAAAAGGCAGAGATTGGAAACAAATCTCTGAATCACAGCAACCAGCAGCAACGAGCACACCATTCTCCCCCTTCCCCTGCTCCACTCTCTGCCCTGCACTTCCTCATTTCACTGCCCCCTCTCCTGCCTTGAGCTAACTCTTTCCCTGCTACCCACCAAGGACCTGCCGGCAAACTTTCCTTGCCACTCAACCCGAGCTGTCCCGCCAGGCACTCCTACTCACCGCACTCACCTTCTCTGCACTCACCCTCCCATCACCGCACTCACCATCTCAGCACTCACCCTCCCATCACCGCACTCACCATCTCAGCACTCACCCTCCCATCGCTGCACTCACCATCTCAGCACTCACCCTCCCATCACCGCACTCACCATCTCAGCACTCACCCTCCCATCACCGCACTCACCATCTCAGCACTCACCCTCCCATCACCGCACTCACCCTCCCATCACCGCACTCACCTTCTCTGCACTCACCCTCCCATCACCGCACTCACCATCTCAGCACTCACCCTCCCATCACCGCACTCACCATCTCAGCACTCACCCTCCCATCACCGCACTCACCATCTCAGTACTCACCCTCCCATCACCGCACTCACCATCTCAGCACTCACCCTCCCATCACCGCACTCGCCATCTCAGCACCTCCTCTCACATAACCTACCTTTTGCATAGCCGTTTGTACGCCTTGGTCGGTGGCCACGTTGCTGATGGAGTCAAGCTTCATCTCGTGGTGCTTCATGATCTGCGTGTCCACTTTCCGCTTATTCGATCTCCTGTAGATTTGCTTCAGCAGGGTGCTATGCAGGTGTTCGAAGAGGTTACTGCTGTACTCTTGCACATTCCCAGCTCGTCGAATTCCAGGGATGAAATGAGTCATCAAGTGTGTTTTGATGAGGTTTCACTTTGATTTCTGCTCGGGGAAGGCAGTCGTGAGTAGTTTCACGAGCCTGGGATGGGTGGGAGCATGAATAAATGAAGGAGTATATGGATAAGCGTTCAATGTGTTAGGGATGGAATCGCTAGGGGAGTTAGATGGTTTAGGTTGTATCGTTTGGTGAGGTACCTTGTTGATTTGGCTTGTAGTTCGGAAAGACTTCTCTTGGTGTGAGAGGCGGCGTTGCAGTAGAGATACTAGTCAAGGTATGCTCTGATGGCCTCCAGCTGGGGCGAGCCGACAACATCAGCCACCAAAAAGATCATCACCTGGATGCATGCAGCATGGTGAGTAGGAAAGGTGAGAGAAAAGATTGAAGGATCTTCTTCCCATGAATGACTTCAAGCGAGTTTACAGACGAGCTTGACAACAGACCAACACATCACTACATTTGCATGAATCAACATAGCAGTGCCCTCTCCACCAGCCCATCTTCTCTCCCCTTCTTCTTCCGTCCCTGCCCAGCTCGCCCCACTCTTCCCACCCTCCCCCTTCCACCACTCCATGGTTTAGGCCTCAAAGCATCATACCTGCATGACCGATCGATGTTCAAAAGCTGCGACTTGTGCCCCGGTTTTGAAGTATTCGCTCTTCGGAAAACGCAAAGAGTTGATCCGTGTTTTCAGGGTGAGCCGTAGAAGACGCCTACGTATGGTGGGATGGAAAGATTTCGGATGTGGGGGGCAGCAGATCAGGATGGAATAAGTTGAGCTGACACACTACCATGTGCTCACAAATGTGGGCTTGACATGCCAACATTGTAACCATGGTTTATTGAATAGAGCATCGTGCATGTCCAGGCGGGTGGTCCAAGGGGCACTCACAAATCCAGAATTTTCATCATCGTTGGGTATTGGGTGCGGATGCATTGCACGATGTGGTCCAGCATCCCCAGGTCTGCCTGGTGCATGATGTCCGCCATGACAGCTAGGATTGGATTTCCCCACGGCAATGAACCAACCTGCCACTTCCATAAAGCACACTGTGCAGGTGGTACAGCGCAGCAGGGAATGCAATGGTTAGGGAAACACACGACACCAATAGACACCAGAGGTTGCTGTGTCTATGAGCCTACTGGGCGACTCCAGCTGCCATGGGATCAAATACTTACGTCGATGTCGAACGTTGAGTACAACTTCAGCGGATTGTCATCCGCTCCGGCACGGACTCCAGCTGCCTCGTCTCTAACCCACTGCTGTTGTGCGGGTGTGCGAACGTTGTTGGGTAGCTCCAGAGATGACAGTCTTTCCTGTGGTGGGCGTTGGAATTTTTAGCATAAAGGGGACGTGCAAGAGAGACCGTTAGACACACACATATACAGAGATGAAATGTTCACAGCCAAGATTGCAGATGGGGCATGATTATATGCCCGGTCGACATCGCAGAGGGTTCGAGGCTTGCACTCCTAATCCCAGCACTTCCCAGCCCTACGTCTCCCCACCACACCACCTCCCTCCCTCCCCATCCGGGCACTCACCATCCCATCACTCACCATCCCAGCACTCACCATCCGGGCACTCACCATCCCATCACTCACCATCACAGCACTCACCATCCCAGCACTCACCCTCCCAGCACTCACCATCCCAGCACTCACCATCCCAGCACTAACCATCCCATCACTCACCATCCCAGCACTCACCATCCCAGCACTCACCATCCCAGCACTAACCACCCCAGCACTCACCATCCCAGCACTAACCATCCCAGCACTCACCATCCCAGCACTCACCATCCGGGCACTCACCATCCCAGCACTAACCATCCCATCCCTCACCATCCTAGCACTCACCATCCCAGCCCTAACCATCCCATCACTCACCATCCTAGCACTCAGCATCCGAGCACTCACCGTCCCAGCACTCACCATCCCAGCACTCACCATCCCAGCACTAACCATCCCATCACTCACCATCCCAGCACTCACCCTCCCAGCACTCACCATCCCAGCACTCACCATCCCAGCACTAACCATCCCATCACTCACCATACCCGCACTCACCATCCCAGCACTCACTATCCCATCACTCACCATCCCAGCACTAACCATCCCAGCACTCACCATCCCAGCACTCACCATCCCAGCACTCACCATCCCAGCACTAACCATCCCATCACTCACCATCCCAGCACTCACCATCCCAGCACTCACCATCCCAGCACCAACCACCCCAGCACTCACCATCCCAGCACTAACCATCCCAGCACTCACCATCCCAGCACTCACCATCCCAGCACTCACCATCCGGGCACTCACCATCCCAGCACTAACCATCCCATCCCTCACCATCCTAGCACTCACCATCCCAGCACTAACCATCCCATCCCTCACCATCCTAGCACTCACCATCCCAGCCCTAACCATCCCATCACTCATCATACTATCACTCAGCATCCGAGCACTCACCGTCCCAGCACTCACCATCCCAGCACTCACCATCCCAGCACTAACCATCCCATCACTAACCATCCCAGCACTCACCCTCCCAGCACTCACCATCCCAGCACTCACCATCCCATCACTCACCATCCCAGCACTCACCATCCCAGCACTCACCATCCCATCACTCACCATCCCAGCACTCACCATCCCAGCACTCACCATCCCAGCACTAACCATCCCAGCACTCACCATCCCAGCACTCACCATCCCAGCACTCACCATCCGGGCACTCACCATCCCAGCACTAACCATCCCATCCCTCACCATCCTAGCACTCACCATCCCAGCACTAACCATCCCATCCCTCACCATCCTAGCACTCACCATCCCAGCCCTAACCATCCCATCACTCATCATACTATCACTCAGCATCCGAGCACTCACCGTCCCAGCACTCACCATCCCAGCACTCACCATCCCAGCACTAACCATCCCATCACTAACCATCCCAGCACTCACCCTCCCAGCACTCACCATCCCAGCACTCACCATCCCATCACTCACCATCCCAGCACTCACCATCCCAGCACTCACCATCCCAGCACTAACCATCCCAGCACTCACCATCCCAGCACTCACCATCCCAGCACTCACCATCCGGGCACTCACCATCCCAGCACTAACCATCCCATCCCTCACCATCCTAGCACTCACCATCCCAGCACTAACCATCCCATCCCTCACCATCCTAGCACTCACCATCCCAGCCCTAACCATCCCATCACTCATCATACTATCACTCAGCATCCGAGCACTCACCATCCCAGCACTCACCATCCCAGCACTCACCATCCCAGCACTAACCATCCCATCACTCACCATCCCAGCACTCACCCTCCCAGCACTCACCATCCCAGCACTCACCATCCCATCACTCACCATCCCAGCACTCACCATCCCAGCACTCACCATCCCAGCACTAACCACCCCAGCACTCACCATCCCAGCACTAACCATCCCAGCACTCACCATCCCAGCACTCACCATCCGGGCACTCACCATCCCAGCACTAACCATCCCATCCCTCACCATCCTTGCACTCAGCATACCAGCCCTAACCATCCCATCACTTACCATACTATCACTCAGCATCCGAGCACTCACCGTCCCAGCACTCACCATCCCAGCACTCACCATCCCAGCACTAACCATCCCATCACTCACCATCCCAGCACTCACCCTCCCAGCACTCACCATCCCAGCACTCACCATCCCATCACTCACCATCCCAGCACTCACCATCCCAGCACTCACCATCCCAGCACTAACCACCCCAGCACTCACCATCCCAGCACTAACCATCCCAGCACTCACCATCCCAGCACTCACCATCCGGGCACTCACCATCCCAGCACTAACCATCCCATCCCTCACCATCCTTGCACTCAGCATACCAGCCCTAACCATCCCATCACTTACCATACTATCACTCAGCATCCGAGCACTCACCGTCCCAGCACTCACCATCCCAGCACTCACCATCCCATCACTCACCATACTATCACTCACCATCCCCATCCCAGCACCTCCCATCCTAGCTTATCCCCACCCAGAGTGTACATGTTGACGTACCCTGTCGACATAGCAGAGGCTGCACGGCTTCATGCAGCCCTGGCCAGATTTGGTGTATGTCAGTTTCCCGGACTCGGGATAGTCACAAGCCCAAGCGTAAAGCAAAGGAACAACCCATCGCTCGATGCCTTCTGAGTCCAGCAGCATGACACCACTGCACAGTTTTCGGGCAGCCATGACACAGGGTGAAAACACATGCAGGTTAACAATATTCATTACTTCCAAGTGCCGCACTCCTTTTATGGGGCATGATTCACCAAATAGATAAAGTTTCGATAAAGACCAGCATTTGCACCACTCACTTGTCTTTAAGGCGGAGAAGTGGCTCAAGTAGCTTAGCAATACACGCGTTGTAGAGCTCCACCTTCAAGTGCGACGGCATATTCGAGGGTGGGATGGGTAACAGCGCCAGCAGGGAGTGCCCATGCCGCCCCCAGCGTTTTGGGAATGCAATATTCCCCAGTGTCATCATGACCGGGTGCGCATTCTTCCTTCCATTGTTGCTCAAGTGCGTGACATCACTGTACAGTATCAGCGCCGCAACAATCTTGTCCATGCCAATGAATTCCTGCACATAAAGCAAAGAATGGATAGATTGGGTCGAGGGGAAAGGCAATGTCTCTGGGCGGTAAACATTGCTGACTCGAAAAGGGCACACCAACTGAAAGCCGGGACCGTGCATGGTGAGTGGTAGGTTTGGAACATATGCAAGGTGCGAGTGATGTGAGGGGAGTGTAAACTACCCATCACCTTGCACTCACAATCTCTGCACCTCCCGTCCCATCACTCACAATCTCTACACCTCCCCTCTCATCACTCACCATCTCTTGCAACTGCAAATAGCTATCAATAGCACTCACCTGTGCTTCTTGCCACCATGTGCCAGTTTCTGCAGTGGAATATGCCCGATGCCCACCCTCGGTGTCCTTGTCTCTCCTCGGTCCCATTCTGAACCCAGGCGCATTGTGCTTGTGCCAAAACATATCCGCCAGGGCCTGCAATATCATATACAGCACGTACACAGGCCGGTTAGCACCCTACACAGTATGAGAGTGACGCACGATGCCGCTAGGACATACTGTCAAGCCAATGCCCTTCAGTTTCATCCTGGGTACCCGAAACTACGTCAGCAAACTCACCCTCAGTGGATTGCGGTGAAGCATCACTTGCGGTGGAAAGCCCTCCACATAAAATGTGGTCGACTCGAATCCACGTCCCGTGTCAGCCAGATATTCCTTCTGTAGCCTCTCCACATCCCGGAAGCTACGGACATTCCCCTCTACCAGCAGCGGGGCCAACTCTGGATGGATAATTAGTTGCAGCACCTTGTTAGTATCCATGTTCGATAAGCCCATGCCGCCATTCAGCAAATCGAGTTGCTCCAACAGGTGTATCAGAGCGGGATGGATGTTGCTGCCATCGGGAAACGAAGGCCTGGCAGCAGAATCGGATTCAGGATTATCTGGACATGTGGTTGGGGGCTGCTCCGCCCCTTGGCTGGACGGCTGGGGCGTTGAGGGATGTGGAGAAGATCCCTCAGGATCAACACGACTCTCACAGCCCACGCCACTAGACGAGGCTGGCAGTGTCTCCTGAGTTGCATCTTGAGGCGCGGAACTGCCATGTCTGACGAAGCGCGGGAGTGATGCAGGCACAATGTAGGCTATGTTAGGGCGCCTAGGACCACTGCCTGCGCGATGCTCTGCAGAGTTGGGGTTGCAGGGTGTGTTGCCAGCCCAGTGCCTTCCTAGCGCAAAACAGTCTAAAAACTTCCGTTCACAGTGTGCACACCAAACAGGACTAGAGCGATCCATGGCAGCGTGACATTAGTCCGTCGTTCCTTTGCCTCTGCATATCGCCGTGGCATTTAAATACGCACCCGCTACAAAGAGTCGATGAATAGCGAGAAGGCCATTCAGTATAAGGTAGCGGATGGACATCGTGACGGGGAATAACGCTACAGTGTGAGCTAGCTAGAGGCGCGACAGCCATGTGATTACGACGAGTCGCTGACGGCGCGACCTGGGGGCACGATATGAGATGCAATACACGAATCGCGATGAGGCGGATCAGGAACCTTGATGAAATTAGGTTTGCAGCCTTCAGGATAGGGTTGGTGTGTGCGTGCAGTGCCTGATTCCCTGTGCCTCATACCACAACTTCAAACTCTCGAAAGTCAAATGCGATGCTATTCACATTTTAGACACAACACTGTATACGAGCCCTGGTGTACACATAAGTGATAAGACGTATGCATGACAAAATGTGCCATTTATAGAATTGAACAAAAATATTAACTGAACCTACGATCAAGAAATTTGTAACCATGGTTTCAAAAAACCAAACCTACTGACTACTGACTATTGGACTAATATCGTCTAGGATAGGAAATCAGGCCTTGCCCCATACAACGGCCTGAATCGCAGTAAAATCCGGCGTGTTATGTCATCTTCCAAACAACCAACCTAGAGTGCTCCGTGTTGTGCCAACACATTACAGTGGCACGGTCATCGCACTCCCATTCGGCCTACAAGCCTGCTCAGCTTCTGGAATTTTGTGGGGAGGTTGTTCAACATGTGTTCTTCAAACCCTCAAAGTTTCAGAGTTTTTTTAAGCAGTTACCAAGGCGTGACAACATTTTATGTTTCAAGACTTATGGCATCCCGGAAGTGTGTGTTACTCCTTTTTGGTAACACCGGAGTTCACCATTTCGGCTGCTGACTCGTCTACCAAGCTCTGATTGGTCTGAAATTCGGTCTGGCAGTTTTATTCCCCGCTGTGCAGGTGTTCACCAAGTTTCAGAACGATCCAACATGTGAGCATTGCGTGACAGCTGCCGAAATGCACTGTTCCGTAGTCATGGTGCACTGTTGGCAGCATTTCCCTTGCCACCCTTTCATTGTTGTCATGCCAATGGTGCAGGGACAGAGAATGAGACAAGAAGTACAGGTGGTCAAGTGGGACTCTACAGCCCTCCTTTTGAGAAGTGTGGTCTTCCTGGAACCAGCTTGCAAGAGGGTGCTAGTGGGAAGACAAGCTGACTCATGGTTGGCTTAACTCACAATTGGTTGCCTTGAGTACAGCTCTGAACATCCATGTGTGGTTGGCTTTGCTGACCTAGCTAGGACGTTTCCCATCCTTCTCTAGCCTTTCTCCCCTAGGACTCAACATTCTCTGAGTTCCCAGGATGACCCAACCCCTTATGAGTCCCCTAGGCAATGTTGTACTCACCTCTTCCTTGCATCAATGAGACTACACGTTTTTCAGCCGAGCTTACGTTTTCGTTCACTGCGTAGTGCACACACCTGTGATAATAGCAAATAATACACCGTTGGAAAGCAGACACCTAAGTCTAACCGCTGTCCAAGTTTCAGTCTCATTTGTTATCGGAGCTGATCGTGACGGCGTTTTGAACAGAGGCAGTTTGAAGGCGTCAGATTCTGCTTAGGGGGTTTCATGGGCATCCGCGACCTCTAAGTGGACTCTTGACTATAACACTCCGAGTAGACGAAAATTAGATGGAAGGTCCACAGCACTACTTAGAGTCACCATACAAAGAATCAGTCCAATCCAATCTTTGGCTGGTAAGTAATCGTGCCTTGCCCCAAAAAGCAGCGGAAATCGCATAAAAATCAACTAAACTAGCTCATCTTCCAAAGAACCAACCTAGAGTGCTCCGCAGGACCTGAAAATTTGATGGAAGGTCCACAGCACTACCTAGAGTCACCACACAAATAGTCAGCTCGATCCAATAAACTCTTGCAGGTAATCATGCCTTGCCCCATAAGGCAGCGGAAATCGCAGCAAAATCAGCTAAACTAGCTCATCTTCCAAACAACCAGCCTAGGGTGATCTGCAGGAGCTGAGAATGGGATGAGAGGTTCATATAACTAACTAGAGTCACCACACAAAGAATCAGCTCAATCCAATATGTGGTCGGCAGGTAATCGTGCCTTGCCCCAAAAGGCGGCAGAAATCGCATAAAAATCAACTAAACTAGCTCATCTTCCAAACAACCAATCTAGAGTGCTCCGCAGGAGCTGAAAATTGGATGGAAGGTCCACAGCACTACTTAGAGTCACCACACAAAGAATCAGCTCGATCCAGTAAACTCTCGCAGGTAATCATGCCTTGCCCCATAAGGCAGCGGAAATCGCAGCAAAATCAGCTAAACTAGCTCATCTTCCAAACAACCAACCTAGGGTGATCCGCAGGAGCTGAGAATGGGATGAGAGGTTCATAGAACTAACTAGAGTCACCACACAAAGAATCAGCTCAATCCAATATGTGGCCGGCAGGTAATCGTGCCTTGCCCTAAAAGGCAGCGGAAATCGCATAAAAATCAACTAAACTAGCTCATCTTCCAAACAACCAACCTAGAGTGCTCCGCAGGAGCTGAAAATGGGGACACCGGTCCACAACACTACTTAGAGTCACCACACAAAGAATCAGCTCGATCCAATATGTGGCCGACAGATAATCATGCCTTGCCCCATAAGGCAGCGGAAATCGCAGCCATCTCAGCTATACGAGCTCATCTTCCAAACCACCATTCTAGAATGTTCCGCAGCAGCTGAAAATGGGGTGAAAGGTCCTTTCACCCGCCAAATGGGGTGAAAGGTCCACAGAATACAATATTTGGCGCCAAAACTGCCGCATGCCACTGGGCGTGGACCTTTCACCCCATTTGGCGGGTGAAAGGACCTTTCACCCCATTTTCAGCTGCCGCGGAACATTCTAGAATGGTGGTTTCGAAGATGAGCTAGTATAGCTGAGATGGCTGCGATTTCTGCTGCCTTATGGGGCAATGCATGATTATCTGCCGGCCACATATTGGATCGAGCTGATTCTTTGTGTGGTGACTCTAAGTAGTGTTGTGGACCGGTGTCCCCATTTTCAGCTCCTGCGGAGCACTCTAGGTTGGTTGTTTGGAAGATGAGCTAGTTTAGTTGATTTTTATGCGATTTCCTACTCGCCAAATGGGGTGAAAGGTCCACACCCAGTGGCGTGCGGCAGTTTTTTCTTTCCGCCGTGCGCCCCGAGGCGCACGGCGGTTTTCTGCCCGCCGTGCGCCCCGAGGCGCGCGGCGGTTTTCTGCGCGCCGTGCGCCCCGAGGCGCGCGACGGGTTTCTGCCCCGTCACTCGGCGCGTCGCCCCCGAGAGGCGCTGCGACGGGCGACAGGGGGCCCGCACGTCGCCCCCCGTCGCCACTCCTATCGGCCCCTAACCGCCGCCAGCGGCCCCGTCGTCCCGCCGCCCTACCTGCGGCCCCGTCGCCCTACCTGCGCCCCGGCCCCGGCCCCGTCGCCCTACCTGTGCTCCGGCCCCGTCGCCCTACCTGCACCTCAGCCCCGGCCCCGTCGCCCTACCTACGGCACCGCCTCCCCCCCCCCCTTTTCCCGTCGCCTGTCGAGGCGACCTGAGGGGCGACCTGAGGGGCGACCTGGGGGGTGGCGGGTGTGTGGTCTCCCCTGCTCCTCCTCCTCTGTCTCCCACTGCTGCAGCTACCGCTGAGGGGGGTGGGTGTGTGGGAGTCGACGGAGTCGTGCTAGGGGGTGGGGTGTGAGTGACCCTAGGGGTGCAGTAGGGGGTGTGTGGAATGGGAGTGGGATAGTTTGGGGAGGTTGAAGGGGGTGGCCGCCGAGAAGCCAGCAGCTCCAGTCGCCCGTGAGACCGTTGCGCCAGTCGCCCGTGACTCCGTTGCGCGAGTCGCCCGTGAGCCCGTTGCTCCAGTCGCCCGTGAGTCCGTTGCTCGTCTGCCGCTACTGTTAGCCGCGGAGCCAGTTACTCCAGTAGCCCGTGTGCCAGTTGCTCCAGTTGCCAGTGTGCCAGTTGCTCCAGTTGCCCGTGTGCCAGTTGCTCCAGTTGCGCCGTGTGCCAGCAGCTTCAGCTACCGCCCACTACCTCCTCTCCTCTCATAGTCCCTCCTCCACACTAGCCCTCTGCGATAGCCTCTAGCGTTGCTCATAATTGTGAACTTTAAACTATTGCTTCTTCAACTTGTGCTCAGAATGTGTGGTGACATTGTGATCCACCCTGAGCTTGTACTGCTTTGCTTGCTCTGCTGATTACACCCCACTTCGGCTATGGGGGTGTGTCAGAATATTATGCTCTAGCTTGTAGTGGGGTGCTCTATAGCGAGTACAACCCTTCTAGGGTTTGCTATTTGTATCCTCATTCTTGCTAGTGCAACCCTCTTCTTTCTTCTAAACTTTCACACCGAACTGTCTAAGAGAACCCGTTGAAATGCTGCTAGTGGCCATTGTGCAGAGCCGAATCAGAATCAGAGCAGATTCTGGCAGCAATTTTTGGATCGCTGGGCACGGGGTTATGTCTGCTGGTCGTATCAAGGCCTGTGACATCTGGTTGTCAGAATCTCCAGGTTTCCGGTTTACCAAAGGGTCATCTCCAGGTGCGCCGATTGCCAATTGCAGGCTAAGTGATGGGATGCGACGAGAAGTAGTTCTACCTTGATAGGGTCAGTGGACCGTTGCGAAATTCCTACCACTGCTCCTAGGGTCAGTTCGGAACTTTACTGTTCTGCACTGTACTGCCACATTGCCAAGCACCCACAAAGCTGCCATGAAAACTTCAGAGCTGCCCTGCCGCACAAACCACAAAGCTGCCACGCAAACCACAATTCTGCCATGTGGTGCTGGCCACTGTCGTCGTTTTGTACTGTATCAAACCAACATGATCATCAACCGCCTCGAACCCCAGCCCACGGTCACGCCTAGCAGTTCCTCTGCCACCATCGTCTCTCACAACTCTCTGGTCCTATGCTACGGTTCGCGATAGCAGTCACGACGCTGAAAGACCAACACCTTCACGAGGGCGTCTTTCCTTCGGCACCGCAAGACAGTTTTTCCCCCGCTTTCCCCAGCAACTTACCTCTGACATGGTCGAACCGTGACCCACGCGACTCTCCTATGCAAACATAATCGACCTCGCGCTTCCAAGATATCCTGTTCCGTCCGTTTTTCACGGCCTCTCAGAATGGCACGTATCATAGCGCCACGTACTGCCTTACCCTCTGCGAACATAGTAGCTTCTAGGGCCTCCTTAGTATCACCCACGTCCAGTTTCTTTCCGAGAGTCAAGCCGCGCCGGCTGAAAGTCCATACCAAATCGTTATAAGCAGGTCGCGTAGAAAGCGCCCATTCCCGAATCGGGCTGCTTCAAACTCTGAGTACCCGACCCGTCAAGTGACCGCGACCGGAACACGCTGTACGTTTTCGGTTCCTAAATGATGGCTCATTTCTGCATCTCCTGAATGTTTCCGAAGACATGTTTCGACACTAGTAGCACTTACCAATCCACAGTGCAAACCGATATACTTTGTTACGTTAGAGTCTCCCAGCGTTTCCCGATTTTCTCTGGCCCTGTCTGCATAATGTCGACTAAACTGCAGGTCTCGAAGTCTGGGAAGAAAAACTCTGCCAAAGGTGTCTCGGCACGATCTCCCAGCAAGGTCAAGCAGACTACGAAGAAGAAGGGAACTGTCGGTCCACCGAAATCCAGGTCATCTAGCGGTGAGGGCCCACCTGGGGGCGATATTCGCAAGTCCAACCGCCCTCGAAAGGCGAGATTGTGGTACGCAGAAGGTGCGGATGCTACCGAAGAAGACGCTGACCTGTTACAGCTGCACGGAACAAACGACAGGGCGACGATTTGGACGAGGCAGAGGCCAATGGCAAGTCGGGAGACGAGGCCGAGGCTGAGGATGAGGCTGAGGACGAGGCTGAGCACGAGGCTGAGCACGAGGCTCCACACGAGGCGGAGGAGGAGGCGGAAGAAGAGGCCGACAAATATGCGGAGGAAGATGAGGAGGAAAAGGTGGAGGAAGAGGCGGAGGAAGAGGCAGAGGAAGAGGCGGAGGAAGAGGCGGAGGAAGAGGCGGAGGAAGAGGCAGAGGAAGAGGAAGATGGGGAGGCGGAGGACGAAGAGGGTGGGGAGTCCGGCAATGAGTCGGAAGATGAGTCCGAGGACGAGCCGTCGGACGAGGAGGGTGGAGAGTCGGACGATGAGCAGGAGGATCAGGAGGAGGCAATGGAGAGGAATGAGAAAAACGGTACGGCGGAAGTGCCTGCCTGCGCGGATGTTCATAAGCCTGAGGTCACGAAAAAAACAAGCTTTGACGAGATGTTGGAAGAGCAGGATGACAGTGAAGGTGATGCCGTGGAGGATGAGGCTGTGGCAGAGGAACGAGCTTTGCTGCTTGGGAAGCTGAAGGCACTTGATGAGATCCAGGAACCCGTTGTCAGCTCGAAGCTCGCTGGAAAGGGTGCGAAAGCACAGTCGCGTTCAGGACCCACTAAGGTTCTGGCTAAGCCACCTCCAGGGAGACATGCTGTCGCCATGGCTAAAAGTAAGGAGAAAGTGGTGGAGAAAGTGGTGGAGAAAGTGGTGGCGAAAGAGAGTAGCCCTGGTGGAAAGACAAAACGGGAGGAGTCCGCCTTGGTGGTTGAAGTTGCATAAAAAAAGCGGAACACCACGGGCAAAACGAAGGCAACTCCAAAGGCAGCAGGCGCTGGGGCAAGAGGGGTAAAGGCTAAAGCAGGCGATGGGGCTAAAGTGACCGCTAAGAAGGGCAACACCAAAACCGATGGTGAGAACGTTGCCTCGTTAAGGTGCATGTTTCAGTGAACTAGGGCTATTGCCCTTATGTGGCCTTTCTATTTGTGGCATGTTTGTTGATGTCCCAAGGCACTGTCCCATCCTTTCTTTGTAGTCCCATCCCTGTTGTCCCTATCCTTGCCGTACCCTATCCTCCCATCCCTGCAGTCCTATCCCTACCGTCAGCTCTCGACCTATCCCTGCCGTAAACCAATCAGCCCATCCCTTCTGTCTACCTTCCTCCCATCCCTCCCGTCACCCATCTCCCATCCCTCCCGTCACCCAACTCCCATCCCTTCCGTCACGTTCCTCCCAGCAGCACCCAAGGATTTCGGAGCTGCGCCACCAGTGAAGGTTCTCAGCCTAGCCACCAAGCGTTTCAATCTCGTACCCGCCAAGAAAACCCCGTTTGTGGCGGCATCCGGCGATCGCCGCCGGGAGCGTGGTGGTGTAACAAACGCGGACCTTGACCAATTCGAGCGACGCGTGATGGCGAAGTTTGCCGAAATGTTGTCGGCCATGGGTCGGGGTGCTGGCCAATCCCTCCCAATCGGAGCGCCTGCAACAACACCTCCCCATTCTGGCCCGAGCACCAGCTTGTCGGAAGGCCTTCCCTCTGGCAATAGTCCCCTGGCAAACCACCGCGAAATCGTCTACAAAGCCGTAGTCGACTTCAAGGTGTGTTGCCTGTGATACACTGCGTATGCGTTTCCTAGACTCCTACTCGACCAGTCTGCACCCTCACCCCTCGACCCTAAACCCCAATTGCGTCCCCAACCAGAACTAGGGAGTTGAAGCTTTTCCTAAACACTGACTCACGCTGTGCCAGTCCATCCCTCCTACCCTCAACCCTAAACCCCACTTGCTTCCCTGTCCAGGTCTAAGGGAGTGAGGCAATACCTAAACCCTGACTCCCCTCTGCCTGCCTGCCCCTCTCCCTTCAACCTTAAACCCACCTGCTTCCCCATCCAGGTATAGGGAGTTGAGGCTTTACCTAACCATGACTTCTGCTTTGACTGTCTGCCCCCACTATCATCAACCCTAAACCCCACTTGCTTCCCCAACCAGAACTAGGGAGTTGAAGCTTTTCCTAAACACTGACTCACGCTGTGCCAGTCCATCCCTCCTACCCTCAACCCTAAACCCCACTTGCTTCCCTGTCCAGGTCTAAGGGAGTGAGGCAATACCTAAACCCTGACTCCCCTCTGCCTGCCTGCCCCTCTCCCTTCAACCTTAAACCCACCTGCTTCCCCATCCAGGTATAGGGAGTTGAGGCTTTACCTAACCATGACTTCTGCTTTGACTGTCTGCCCCCACTATCATCAACCCTAAACCCCACTTGCTTCCCCATCCAGGTCTCAGGGGGTGAGGCAATATCTAAACCCTGACTCCCTTCTGCTTGCCTGCCCCTCTCCCTTCAACCCTAAACCCCGCTTGCTTCCCCATCCAGGTCTAGTGAGGTGACGATTTACCTAAACCTTGACTCCCCTCTGCCTACCTGCCCCTCTCCCTTCAACCTTAAACCCACCTGCTTCCCCATCCAGGTATAGGGAGTTGAGGCTTTACCTAACCATGACTTTTGCGTTGATTGTCTGCCCCCACTACCATCAACCCTAAACCCCACTTGCTTCCCCATCCAGGTCTCAGGGGGTGAGGCAATACCTAAACCCTGACTCCCTTCTGCCTGCCCACCCCTCTCCCTTCAACCCTAAACCCCGCTTGCTTCCCCATCCAGGTCTAGTGAGGTGACGATTTACCTAAACCTTGACTCCCCTCTGCCTGCCTGCCCCTCTCCCTTTAACCTTAAACCCCACCTGCTTCCCCATCCACGTATAGGGAGTTGAGGCTTTACCTAACCATGACTTCTGCTTTGACTATCTGCACCCACTACCATCAACCCTAAACCATGACTTATGCTTTGTCAATCTGCCCCCTCTCTCCTCAACCCTAAACATCTCTTGCTTACCCAGCCAAGAACTGGGAGATGGAGCTTCTAAACCTTGACTCATGCTCCAACAGTCTGTCCCTTCTACCCTCAACTCTAAACCCCACTTGCTCCCCCATCCAAATCTAGGGAGCTGAAGCTTTCCCTAAACCTAGACGCATGCTCCAACTATCTGCCCACCTTACCCTCAACACTAAACCCCACTTGCAAACCCTTACCTCTTGTTTGCATATCTGCCACCCATCCCCCTCCACTCTGCAGGAACTTGCTAGGCGTGTAGCAACACATCTTTTCTTCAACATTGAAGCCTCAATGATTCAGTTCTACCCATCTGCGGAGGAGGCCTTAGATCATGGGTTTAGCGAGTTTGTGTCGCCGCAGGTTCTTGCCTCGTTGCGTGTGCTCTTTCAGCACAATGATGCCAGCACCAGAGGGGTTTTTTTTACCAGCTGTCTTCAACTAGGACTACTATCAACGGCTGGATGAGAAAGGTGGCGCTCACGGCGTTGGGTCGACAGGCGAACAGGTGTTACATTGGGAGGTTACCAGCAGATCTACTTGCACCACTCGAGTTCTACACGGATGAGGAACTCATTGAGCGTTACAAGGATGGTGAGTTTGTATGCAGCCTTTGATCCCATAGTTGCTGTTATGTGTGTTGCAATCATATGTATATGTATGATTTCGTTCCTCCTTTCCACTTTCGGTTGCCCCCTATTCACCATAGAGTCAGCAATTTTCATCCCTTTGTTTCCAATCACCACACAATCCCATTACAGGGGCGAGGGGACTGGCTTGGCACCGTGAGCTCCTCATCCCGTTCGGCAGCCTCATCTTCTCAGTGTCCATCAAGTTGGCTTTGGCGCGCCGTGGGGTCAATACCGAGAAGATTAAGACCCGCCAGCTGGGCTGGATCTTATATGCAGTGAGTTTATGGACATGTTGCTATGTTTGATGCCACGTATGCGATGAGCCATCTAGTGTTTTCATGTGTTAACCCTTGTCTGTTCATCTATTCCACTACATCCCCACCTCATCCCCACCATATTCCTACAGTTCGAGTGGCCAATCCTTAACAATGCGCCCGATGGGAAGTGGAGCGGCAAGTGGGAGTACAATCGGATCCAGTACGAGGAGATGTGCACCCGTGTGAAGCAGGAGGTCGAGATCGCTGTCATGGACCATGGTGTCCCATACGCCAGCAACAAGAACACATTCAACTTCCCCAACGGCGTCTACATCGACGCGTCTGACATGGAGACCCTTGTCAGCAGGGTGCAGGTAAGTCATCCATAGGACCAAAACCTTGCTGAGATGGCTCCAACACAATGCTCATGTGGCACCAGCTTTGTTGCATCACTCACCATCTCTTCCGTCCCCTTCCCCTTCCTCCCATCTCTTCCGTCCCCTTCCCCTTCCTCCCATCTCTTCCGTCCCCTTCCTCCCGTCTCTACTGTCCCCTTCCTTCCGTCCCCCATGCCTCTTTGCGCAGGCAGCACGACCTGCACCAGCCCGGGTTGTCACCCCCAACCCGTGATCACAGAGATCTACAGCAGCACTAGGGGGACATGTGCGGAGGGGCTTAGTAGTGGCAGTAGCAATCTGCAGCAGCAGCAGGGGGATCGGTGCGGAGGGGCTTCGCAGTGGCAGTAGCAATCTGCAACATCAGCAGGGGGTCAGGTGCAGAGGGGCTAAGCAGAGGCAGTAGCAATCTGCAGCAGGAGCAGGGGGAACTGTGCAGAGGGGCATTTCAGTGGCTGTAGAAATCTGCAGGAGCAGGAGGACAGAAAACGAGGGGCATATCAGTGGATGCAGCAATTTGCAACAGCAGCAGGGGGACAAGTGCAGAAGGGCGCATCAGTGAAAGTAGCAATCAGCAGGAACAGCAACGGGACGGGAAAACGAGGGGCATAGCAAAAAATGCAGCAATCTGAGACAGCAGCAGGGGGACACGTGCGGAAGGGCACATTAGTGGCAGCAGCAATCTGCAGGAACAGCAGGATGACAGGAAAACGAGGGGCATAGCAAAGGCAGTAGCAATCTGCAGGTGCGGAGGGGCGTAGCAGCGGCAGTAGCAACCTGCAGGAGCAGCAGGGAGACAGGTGCAGAGGGGCGTAGCAGCGGCATTAGCAACCTGCAGGAGCAGCAGGGAGACAGGTGCAGAGGGGCGTAGCAGCGGCATTAGTAACCTGCAGGAGCAGCAAGGAGACAGGTGCAGAGGGGCGTAGCAGCAGCATTAGCAACCTGCAGGAGCAGCAGGGAGACAGGTGCAGAGGGGAGTAGCAGCGGCATTAGAAACCTGCAGGAGCAGCAGGGAGACAGGTGCAGAGGGGCGTAGCAGTGGCAGTAGCAACTAGTAGCAGCAGCAGGGGGGACAGGTGCGGAGCAGCAGGGCCAGCAGGGGGACAGGTGCGGAGGAGCATAGCAGTGGCAGTAGCAACCAGTAGCAGCAACGGGGAGACAGGTGCGGAGGAGCATAGCAGTGGCAGTAGCAGCCAGCAGTAGCTTTAGCAGAAGGATTTAGTAACCTTTAATCAGTGTAGTGTAGGAGCAGTACAGTTGTAATGTATTGTTTTGCTGTATCTAGACTATGCTGTATTTTGATTTTGCAATAAAAAAATATTTCAAACAGAAATTTCATGCAAATGACAGTTTGGTATAGGGCCAACCCAAGACACAGGAGACTCTAAATTGGGACCATACTTGGTTCAACTTGGGATAAAGTTGAGAGTAGGCTTGGAGAAAAAATGGTCATCAGAATCACCTAAACTTTGGCCAAACATAGCCCAAAGTTCATCTTAGCAACTATACCAATATTGTACCAAACAATGAGACCATTAATAGTCCAATTTTGGATGGAAACACCGAAGTTGGAGCAATAATTGACCAATATAATAGGGGGGTTTTGTGATGATTTCACAAGGGTAACTGCCAAAAAGTGTATTTTACCTTTGAAATTTGGGCAAAAACGGCAAAAAGGGTATTTTACCCTTGAAATTTGGGCCCTGGTGACAAGACCAGTCAACAAAAACAACAAAGCAAGAAATATGTTTTTTACGGCTGCATGCCATATCGTGACATCCTGTTGCGCTCTAAACAGCGCCCCTTTTTTTGCATCGTGCAGTACTGGGAGAAACACGCGGAGCTGCTAGTAACGGGGGATGGAGGGGTCGACCCTGAGCGAGTATGCATCGATGCCCCCAGCAATGTTGAACAGGCGCGTGAAGCCCTGGAGGCACGGTGGGAGGGAGCACATTGGAGGAGTGGGGGATGAAGTGGCAGACTAGTAAGTCGCATTGTTGTGGGTGGAGCTGCATGCAGCAAAGCCCATGAGTGGCAGTGCTGTGGAATGTGCACCAAGTGTAGTGATGGGAGAAGAGGGTATAGTGAGAGACGCAGGGGAGAGAGAGGAGAGGGGTAGAGAAGGAGTGGGGAAGAGAGAAAACAAGAGACGGACTAGGAGAGGGGTGAGCAGGTGGCTGTGAGGAACTCAACAATGGTCAATCGAATAGTTCTGTTGAGACATGAGCACCAACACGCGGAGGAGAAGAAGAAGCAGGTGGAACAGAACAGCAAGAGTGAGGGAAGGGAGAGGGTGTAGTGGTGAGGGAGGGAGACGGAGGGATGACGGAAGATGTGGACCGGAGGAAGGGATACGAGGAAGGGAGAGAGAGGAGGGAAGAGCAAGGGTGGAAGAGAGCGAGGGTGGGCGGCGGCGCGACCTGGGATTGGAGCCAGTGGGCCATCTGCTGCGAGCGAATGCCATGATGGCACTGCAGGCAGGGGGGGTGGCGCATGGTTGGGTTTGAATGGCATGTGATGGGTCACATGGGATGAAAAAGGAGGAGAGAACATTAGATGAGCAGGCGATGAGATACGAGCGGGGACAGGAGGGATGATAGGGGGGAAATAGGACATAGGATGGCACTGCAAGGATGAGGAAAGATGCATAATACGTGAGGTGAGATGCATCATACGTGAGGTGAGATGTACGTCATGTGAGGGGAGATGGCAAAGGTGATAACATGGTGAGAATGGGTGGGTAGCAGGCAGCACGGTCCTGTGTGGTTGTGTGTGATACCAGGAGGTAGGTGTCAGTGTGAGGGTCGAGTGTGTCAGCGATGGACGGCCCCCACTGGCCGAACTGGCTCAGCGGCAGCACTGTGAACCCGCGGATGGCTGCCATCTCCCTGCGCTTCACCGCACAGCACCGCACAGCACAACAGGGCACAACACAGCATGACAGGGCAGCAGAGGTGGCAGATTTGAGGAGGGGGAGGAGAGAAAGGGAGAGAGGGCGTGGTTCATTTGGGGATGGGGAGTGAGAAGAGTGGGAGGATGAAGCAACGCAAGTCAGGGGGGGCGACGAAGGCAGCAGGAAGGGAAGCATCAATGCCAGATGGGCAAACCAAACATGGCAGCATGGCAGGGCATGGCATGGTGTGGCACAGCATGGCAGGGCATGGGGATGAGCAGAGGGAAGGCATGCACGCACACTTCCCTCTCCTCGCGCACGTCCACCAGTTGCACGGCGCGCCTCCCCTCACTCTCCGCCTGCACCTCCGCCAGCTCTGCCTCCAGCGACCGCCCCTTGCTGTCCGCGCCCCCCCTGCCCGCTGCACCCCCCTGTGGCGGCGGCAGCACGTACTCCTCGCTGAGGCGCCTGGCGAACTCCTCCACCGTCACCTGGTCCAACAACGCCGCGTGCCTGATGGCGCCATGCCGCCCGGGCGAGGGACAGGGGATGGGTGGGGGAGTGGAGGAAGAGAAGAGGTCGGGACGCTCGGGCGCAGATGGGAGAAGGGAGAGGGAGCATGGGACATGCGACGAGTACAGTGAGAGAGGGGCAGCAGAAGAACACACAACATGCAAGGGGAGGCTCACCTGTCCCCCAGCACCTGCAGCAGGTGCCATCCGTGCTTGGTCTTGCACCGCACCACGTCCCCTGGCCTCGCCTTGAATGCCGCCTCCTCAAACTCCGGCTCCTGATGCCATGCCACGCCACACCACGCCACGCCACACCACGCCACGCCACGCCACGCCACGCCACGCCACGACACGACACGCAACGCCACGCAACGCCACACCACGCCACGCCACACCACACCACGCCACGCCACACATCATGCCATGCGGTGACATTCCATGCCATGGAGCGCGGGAGTGGTAAGGAGTATCACCGCGTGGTGGGCGCGTGGATGGGTCACATGGGTGGTGCAGGCAATGATGCCACCAGCATGTGCAAGCTTCGAGGTAGGGGAGCGCGATGAGGCGAGCATGGTGGTGAGGGCAGGTGGGAGGGGCGGGGAATGAGCGATGGGGGCAGGTGGGAGGGACGACTGACAGTGGAGCCTTTGGAGATCCACCCGACCATGCCGCCCTTGGCCCTCGACGCGCACAGCGAGTGCTCCGCCGCCAGGTCGCTCAGATCCGATTCGTCTGCGCGCGCGGGGGGCGGGAGGGGGGGGCGGGGAGGAGATTTGGTTGAGGCGGGGTTGCCCGCCAGGTCGCTCGATCCACGCCCTCTGCGCGCACCCGGGAGGTGAGGGGTGGGGTGCAAGTGAAGGTGGTTGGGATGGTGAATGTGAATGCACGCCTGGAATGACCGCCTGAGCAAGCGCGTCCTTCACGCAACAGTCATGCATGCCGCATGGCGCAACAAAATCAAACACACGTGTTCCTCTCACCCGCCATGATGCGGCGTTGCAGCTCCAGCAGCAGCGGCAGCTGGTCCGCGCCCACCACCAGGTGCTGCACCAGCACCTCGCGGTCCCACTCCTCCTCCGCCTCCCGCGCGCCCCGTCCCCCGCCTCCCGCCGACGCGCTCGACGCCACGCTCCGTCGCCCCGCCGCGGCGGAGAACCAAGGGACGGCGGAGAGAGCTGCGACGGACGGGCAGGATGAAATCAGCGGCGAGGCTGCGCGGCAACGCAGGGAGGCGGGAAGCGGAGCGACTCCGCGAGGCGCAAGAGGATGGCGGGAGCGCGGCACGGGAAGGTGCGACGAGGAGCAGCGGGGACGGGCGGTGAGGCGAGCTGCGGGGAGAACGGCGAGCTTGCGCGCGAGCGACGCCATTGGCGGATGTGCGAGGGGAGGAAGGCGCCTTGGCTTGCTTTTGATCGAAGGGGGGATGCACTCCAGCCGCAGGCTCTGGTGGACGATGGGGGTTCCCCTGGGTGCCAACATATTTAATTTAGTATCTGCTAAAATAGTTTCAGGGGATTAGTACACTTACAGAAGGATTTTGTATGAAATTCAGCCGGACACACAAATTTTATAAACCGCACGTATCTAGCAGGCTGATCTTCACTAGAACAACCATATCGAACCACCTAAACCGATTTGGTAACAAGCATTAAAATTATTTTCTGTTATCGGATCATTCGATAGCTCTTGTAACGGTACATCGACAAACAGGAAAGTGAAACACTAGCTACGCTGTTGTGTGAACAGATTGATTACGCCTAGTCGCGTGCGATCATTCGGACAAGGACGACAGCGGGTGACGACGGTGACCCGCGTTGACGCGAGGCAGACGAGCCACGGCAAGGTTGACAGCTTCTGTGGGACCAACCCTCATCTCCGCGTGTCCTGCGCTCAACGCCCCCCGTCGCCCACCTGCGCAACGCCGCGCCCACCACCGTATCCCTCCGCGCCACCACTCCGCCGCGGCAGCGGGCGATCGGCGGGAGGAGCAGCAGCATGGAGGGCGGCGCGGGAGGCACCATCAGCGGCCCCCTCGCGCCTTCGGGTGCGTCGCCCATCGCCGCCGCTCCTAACACATTTTTGTCACCACGCACCCCCTCTCTTGGGCCCGCGCCTCCCCTCTCACCCGCGCTCCTCCACTCCACTCCCATTCTCACCACCCTCTATCGTTCTCCACCGATCTCCCCTCCCGCTCCTGCGGGGGAGGGGCGTGTGCCCATTGCACTCCCTTCCCTTGACACTTAACTCTGCCAACGCCACTCCCCCTTCCTCTCGCACCTCCCTTTACGCCTCCCCGCCAGGCGGCATGGACGGCGGGGCGTACGGGGGGCTGGACGCGGCGGACGTGGAGCTGGCGCCCGCCGTCACCACCGTCGCCTTCTCGCCCGCGCCGCTGCCGCCGCTGCGCGTGCCCGTGCGCGCGGGTCCCGCTGACAGCCCCGAGCGCGGCGCGTGGGTGCTGGCGTTCCAAGACGAGTCCAGCTGGCGCAGCGCGTGGGGGGCTTGCGAGCGCAAGATAGCGGAACAGTGCGAGGTGAGCGTGGGAGCGGGCTCACGCTGAATGCATTCTTCGTCGTTAGCAAGGCTCTCACTCACCTCCCATTCTCCCCGCCCTCCTCTTCCTTCCTCCTTTCTCCTGCTCCACCCTCACCCCCCCTTTCTCACAACTTTCCTTCCCCCTCCCCCACGTCCACGTTAATTAATCTCTCCCCTCCCACCCCCTATCTCTCCCCCTCCTCCCCTGACCTTCCTCCCCCTTCCCCCCTCCCCCTCAGGTGGGCGCGCGCATGGGGTGTGCAGTGCGCGCCAGTGAGCGGTGCCAGGCAGCGCGGCCATGGGGGCTGAGGGGCGCGGGGGGCGGCTTCCTGGGAGTCATGGAGCTGCTGGGGGTGGGAGGAGGGGCGGGCAGGGGCAGCGAGGAGGAGGAGAAGGAGCGCGAGGCGTGTGAGGAGCGGGAGATGATGGCGTGCCTCGCCACCGCACAGGTCGCTCACCACGCCATGCCTCGCCTTCCATCATCCCTCCGTGCTCCGCTCAAGTGTCCTCTTTGCATCCATTTGGCCCCTTTGCTCGCACTGATGCCCCCTGGCCCCCTTCCATTACCCCCTCCTCCCCTCGTGGTCCCTCCATTTGAATGCTTCTTGTCTTCTCAACCCCGTGTACCCCCATGCACGCCCACAGGCGGCCTGTGAGGAGCATGCGCAGCAGCAGTGCAGCGCGGCCTTCTCCCAGGCGCTGCTCGCGCGCTCCCTCTCCGCCATCCCGCTGCCCCTGCTCGACCGCCGCGCCCAGCGCGCCCTCCTGCGCTCCGCCCTGCACCGGCGCCACGCCGCTGCTGCTGCCGCTGCTGCTGGGGGGCGCAGGGGCAGCGCAGACGCGGGGGTAGTGGGGGCGAGGGCGGGCATGGGGGGCGTGGAGGTGGAGAGGAGCCCGGGGGCGAAGCTGGCCCAGCAGGCCGTGGCTGCCGCGCTGGCAGGGGCGGGCAGGGGGGCGGGCGAGGGGGGTGACGGGGAGTGGGGGGAGGGCGAGGCGCTGTCGAACGTGGTGAGCGCCACGGGGCTGCCTCGTGAGGGCGGAGGCGCCGCTGTGGCGTGGCGCAGCGGTGTGTCGTACTTGGAGTCGCCCAGGGGTGGTGCTGGGGAGGCGGGGGGGATGGGGAGCGGTGGAGAGGGGTGGGAGGGCGGACTGGTGAAGCCAAGGGCTGGGAGGAGAAAGGAGGTGGGGATTGGGGGGGTGAAAGGGGGAGGGGATGGCAGAGAGGGCGGGGAGAAGAGTGTCGGCACTGCTGGTGGCAGCGGCAGCGGCAGCGGCAGCAGGCAGACAGCAGCAGGTGGGCCAGAGGGTGGCAGCAGCAATGGGGGTGTGCTGGGTGGTTCAACTGCCAATGGCAGGGTCACACGTGCAGGAGAGGGGGAGGTGAATGGTTTACTGGGTGCGTGGGAGCGAGCAGCGAGGGCTGTGAAGAGCAGAGTGGAGATGGTGACACGCACACGGGGTGCAGGTGCACGTAGCTGACAGCACACACGGGGTGCAGGTGCAAGCAGCTGACACGGGGTGCAGGTGCAAGCAGCTGACAGCGCACATGCGCTGCTTGGACTGATATCATTGTCACCTTTGCTTCCTGGATAGAATGCAGTATTGTCTTTGATGTGGTACGATGCCGAATGGCTTCCATGGAAATATGAGATGCTGCTGTGTATAACGGCGAGCCTAGGCTGATCTTATACGGTACCGTAGTTGTATGTAGCATGAGTAGTCTGAGATCTCCGACTTTTCTAGCCACCAAGCCCATCTTTCAGGATCACCCCCAGACTGATTCACTCCAAGTGATGAGCTCAACGTGCTTTTGCCGTCTATGCACCCCACAAGGATTTTCTCAAAGAAAAAATACTTAATGGCAAGGAAAGTTACCATACATCTTTTGTACATTACAATTTGAATGAGGGGTGGCTACTGCTCGAGCGAATGAACAGGTGCTTTATGTCATACGGCCCTGTATTGACTTGGCTTTGGTTCAAACTTTTCGCGCAGCTCAGGCGGCGGGTCGAAGTGGATGGCGTTGAACGGCTCCTCCATGTCCGCCTGGTATGTGCTCTTCACCTTCAAGTATGTCGCCTGCATGGTAGTGGGGGGAGGGGAAGGGGAAGGGGAGGAGGGGTGGACGGCGTTAAAGCCTCGTCCATGTCCGCTTGATACGTGCTCTTCACCTTCAAGTATGTGGCCTGCATGGGCGATGCACACATGGTGACAGGTGGAGGAGGCATGGGGGATCCCAAGGTGGGTGATGGCAGTGACGGCGTGCGGGCAGAGCACAGCAGAGAGCACGATCACACACAGCAATGCTTTAACGTGGCACCTTCGGTGGAAGCAACACGAAAGCAATTGGGAAGCAACCTGGAAGCAACCTGGAAGCAGCAAAGCAGTGGGCATGAGAGGGCACTCGGGGGACTGCGGGGGCACTCACAGCGTCACTATAGAGCTGCAGCAGCTGGTCTCTGGACTTGGTGGGGTGGATCTTCTTGCCAAAGTCAAACGCATCGCCCGGCTGGCGGCCCAGGCGCGTCATGACGGCCTTGACGTCTTCCTCCATGCGCTCAAACCGCCCCACCAGGTCGTACCTTATTCGGTCCAGCCCGCACAGCAGCGACTGGCGGGAGGGGGTGGGTGCGGGAGCAAGGGACCATAGCGCGGGTTCAGGGTTTCAAGAACATAGACGAAAGGGCCTAGCGTTGTTGTGCACTGTGGAAGCCGGCACGAACGTACTTTGTGTGGGCAAGGTGCAGAGAGGGAGTGATGGATGTGTGGATGTGATGGATGTGTGGTGCAGAGAGGGGGAAAGGTGGCGAGAAGGTGAAGTGTGCATGCAATCAAGGGAGGGGGGTGACATGAGGCGCTCTAAGACTTTCCAGATAACATGGGGATTTCCACACGGCCCACACAAGTTACAACGCATGCAGTCTTGGTCACATGGGAGAGAGTGGTAGGGACAAGCCAGTGGGAGGGAAAAAACATGGATGCATAGAAACATTTTAATGAGGACTTGGGAGAGAACGTGTTTTCATATACAGGGGTGGTCAACAGCTGCTACACGGTCAAGAGAGGTACCGTCCCTTGCGCTTTGAAAGAGTTCTAGTCGCCAGTCGCCAGGTGGTTTTGCTGTGCGTGCATCCCACCTGCGGGGCGAGGTGGTTGTCCATGTTCTTGCGCCTGTCGAAGCGCATGCCGTACTCCACCAGGCGCACGAACTCCGGGAACGTGAAGTTGCCGCCCGTGCGGTTGTTCATCTGCCTGAAGTACGCCAGATGCCCGAAAAAGTTCTGCAACGGGGGGAGACGCAGTGGATGGGGATGCAAGGAAGGAGAGAGAGAAAGGAAGAGGAGGGCCAAGTAGGGGTGTAGATGCATTAGAGGCAGGGCTTGAAAGGCACATACCACAACCATCAGTCGCTGAACCTTAACCCTGAATCGCGCCCACGGTGAACAACAAGAGCGTCATTACATGAACAGCACCCCTCTGCCCCACGTATGAGCGACCAGTGCCTCTAGACTGGGATTTGGCCTGTACCAGCACCCCTCACACACTCTCCACTGCCTTTGTCTCCCCATCATCCAACCACAGAAGCACCCAAACAGCAGGCGACCCCAACTCACCAGATTCCAGAACTTGCGCCCCCATCCGTCGGGCCCGCCGCCCGCCACGTGCTTGTTGAGGTAGGCGGACACAATGCGCTCGAAGGGCTGCCGCACGAACACAAAGCGCAGCAGGTCGGGGCGCGTCACGGCGCGGATGGCTGCCGGCTCCGACAGCGCGTACCAGAGCTCCGTGATGTTGGAGGCGAAGGGGCGGTGCGTTGACAGCAGGTCGTTGCTGTGGCTGTCGTGGTGCTGCTGGCGGATCCACACCTTCCAGCTCGTGCACGCCACCTTGGGCACCCAGCAGTACAGCAACCCTATGCCCTCTGGTGGGGGTCCATGGGACAGGGGCGCAGAGGGGAGGGGTGTGAGGAGAGGCACGAAGGAAAGGTGATGCTGACACGTGCAGGAAAGGTGATGCTGACACGTGCAGGAAAGGTGATGCTGACACGTGCAGGAAAGGTGATGCTGACACGTGCAGGAAAGGTGATGCTGACACGTGCAGGAAAGGTGATGCTGACACGTGCAGGAAAGGTGATGCTGACACGTGCAGGAAAGGTGATGCTGACACGTGCAGGAAAGGTGATGCTGACACGTGCAGGAAAGGTGATGCTGACACGTGCAGGAAAGGTGATGCTGACACGTGCAGGAAAGGTGATGCTGACACGTGCAGGAAAGGTGATGCTGACACGTGCAGGAAAGGTGATGCTGACACGTGCAGGAAAGGTGATGCTGACACGTGCAGGAAAGGTGATGCTGACACGTGCAGGAAAGGTGATGCTGACACGTGCAGGAAAGGTGATGCTGACACGTGCAGGAAAGGTGATGCTGACACGTGCAGGAAAGGTGATGCTGACACGTGCAGGAAAGGTGATGCTGACACGTGCAGGGAGGCGGGAGGGAGAGGATGTCCGCTCGCCTGACATGAGGTGAGGTGAGGTGAGGTGAGGTGAGGTGAGGTGAGGTGAGGTGAGGTGAGGAGGGCGATGACATCCATGTATGCCAGCTTGCTCATGCCTGTTTCACAAACAGTCTTGTAGTGAGCACTTGCACTAAGTCATATATCTACATACACACAGCACAAGCAGAATCCACTGCAAACCATACACATCTCATTCCCATTCATCCCTTGCAACCATTCATCCCAACCACCCACCCCCCCTCCCACCCAGCCCTCACCATCCACGATCAGCTGGTGCCCGATGCGGTGCTTCGTGATGGGCTTGCTTGACGGTGCCTGGCAAACAGCCTCCTCGCGCACCAGCGCCACCTCCTCGCCGCGCTCCACGCCCTCCGCCATCGCCCCCACCCACCCCCCGCCGCCCCGCTCCCCCCTCCCCGCAGCCCCACTCGCAGCCCGTGAAGCCTCCTGGGCGCGTCTGGCCATGGCCTGCGCGTGCAGGAAGTCGGCCTGGGGGGAGTGTTGGAGGTGGATGAGGCGCGGCGCGTGGGAGAGCGCGAACAGCTCCGCCGCCTCCAGCTGGGAGCACCGGATGGACCGCTGCTTCGCGTCCAGCCCCTCCCACTCCCTCTGCACTAACTCCCTCTCCCTCGATTCCCTCTCAGCCATTTCTCTCTCCGCCAGCTCCATGTGTTGCCTCAGCTGCTCCCGTGTCTCGCCTTGCTGCTGCTCCCGTGTCTCGCCTTGCTGCTGCTCACGCTGCTTCACCTTCTTTCTCCCTTCCTCCTGCTGTGACTCATTCACCTCCCCCAGCTCTTCACCATCCTCCCCCGCCTTAGACTGCAGCAACCGCCGCAATCGCACCATACTGAAAACATTTGGCTTGCCCTCCCCCTCCCCCGCCCCCTCCCCATCCCCATCGCCCTCCTTCTCGCCCTCCTCCTCCCCCTCCAGCACCGTCTTCCAGTCCCGCCCCATGAGCTCCTTCAGCATTGCCCTGATCTGCCGCCGCTGCTCGCCCTCCGTCTTCCCCATCTGCCTTGCCCCCATGCCCGGCCCGTACATCTTCTGCAAGAACTCCAGCACTCGCTCCCTCCGTGCATCGCCCTTCGCGTCCATCCCGCCTGCCTCTCCCCCTCCATCTGGCCCGTCCATACCTGCAATCAAGCTCGCACTCCCTCCCTCCCCTCCCCCCGCTCCTTCCTCTCCTGCTCCTGCCCCGCTCCCCTCCTCCCCTCCGCCCTCGCCCGTGCCTCGCGCGCTCCGCTTCTCCGCCTGCAGCTGCTCCTGCACCGCCTTATCCAGCCACTCCTTGCGCTCCTTCCTGCTCGCCACACTCATCGCCACGTCAGCAGCAGCAGCGTCGGCGCGGCTCACGTTCTTGGCCATGTCAGCGCGGTGCCGCTTCTCCGCGATCTGCTTGGGCGTCCATGGGTGCGGCACGATGGGCGGTGGTGCCATCTCCCCACGCTGGGGGTTCGGCCGGCACTGTTCAGAGCGGTGCAGAGTGGTGCGGAGGAGGTGCGGCTGGCGCGCGGGGTGGAAGGTGTGGGCGACGGCGAGGGCCTGCGAGGGCCAGAAGGCGGCGAGCGTGGTGGCGGTGGCGGGGTGCGCGAGGAAGAGCCACATGAGGCGCCGCGCCGTGCAGTTGACCAACTGCTTGACATCACAGCCCGTGCACCCTGATAGCACTGGCTGGGGTGGGGTCAGGAAAGGATGAGGAGAAAGTGGAAGGGACACAACAACGGGGGCACACAGGCGGAGCATGACTCACAGTGTGAGAGACGGTACAGTGTGGGGAGACGGCTCACAGAAGACATACCAGCTAGGTACCTCCCTATGCACGCTTCAGGCGCCATGCCTGTTGACACCCTGTGGGTAATCTGCGTGCATCACGGCCTCTGGCAGCATACCTCCATGTAGACGGCGGTGCTGTGGCGCACGTGAGTGAGGTTCTCCCGTGCCACTATCTCGTGCACGGCAGGCGAGGGCTGCAGCATGCCATAGCACTCCACCATGGACGCCTGCAGCTCCATCGCCTCCTCTGAGCCTGGTGCCTGCAGTGGGAGAGAGGAGAGCAGTGAGGCGGAGAGAGCAGTGAGGTAGGGAGAGCAGTGAGGTAGGGAGAGCATGCAGCTATGCGAGGGTGGTGCAGAGAGGGTGGTGAGTCAGTGACGACCAGAGACGACAGGGTAGAGCGATATGAAGCACGGATGGGTGGCACCCATTGGCCTTTCTCAGGGCTACATGCCTGCACTGCACTGCACTGCAGCAGTGGACCACCGTTGCTACACCCCATGCACTCACCACCTCCATGCTTGTAGCAGCACTGCGCAGGGACGAGAGCAGATGCAGGCTCACAGACACTGTGTTGCCACCGCCACCACTGCTACCACCTGTGCTTCCTGAGCTTCCTGTGTTGCCTCCTGCCGCTTCTGCCAGTCGCCTTCGTGACGTGCTCTGCCCCCATCCAGTGCTCTGACCAGCACTGCTCTGCCCGCCACTGATCTGCGTGCCAGGCTCATCTCCGGAAGGGGAGGACCCAGGAGGCGAGAAGAGCAGGCGGGCAGAGGCCAGGCGGCCGCTGCTGAGCTGCTGGGAGGAGCGCGCCCTGCCAGTGCCGGTGCCAGTGCCCACCCTGTTGGCCCCAGTGCCCAGCAGGCGGCGGCGAGTAGAGTGAGGTTGGGTGGGGAAGGGGATGGGCGGCTGCTCCACCAGCCACGGCGCCTGCTGTGCCCCGTGCGGGTTGTGCTGCGGCTGCGGATGGCCTGGCTGTGGTTGTGGCTGCGGCTGCGGCTGTGGTTGCTGAGGTGGCTGCTGACGTGGCGGTGACTGTGCTGGAGCTGGCACGATGTCCAGGTCGAGCCTCTGACGTGGCACAGGTGGGATGACGGGTGGGGAGTGAGACGGAGGGTGAGAGGGAGAAGGATGTCTCAAGGGCCTGACCTTTGTCCTAAGGAGAGTGACAGAATTGCAGCGGCAAAGAGGACAGGCAGGCAGCAGAGGGATGAGGCTCAGGTGCTGCAACGCAACGCACCTGCTCAAGCTTCCCTCCCGTTCAGATAAACCAGCTTTCACCATCAGCATAGAGAGGCAATGATAGGCAGGCAGTGTCGGTGCTGAAGCAAGCCTATCACCTAACTACCCCACCCCACGACAGCAAGCGCGACTCACTCCTTCAGCGTAGTGTGGCGAGTGCAGCCACAGCGGCTTCTCATGCAGCACCGTCACCGTCGCTGCACCCGCAGTGCGTGAGTCGTTGTGTGACCCGTTGAGCGGTGCGTCGTGGTCGTCAGGCAGGGAGGGCGAGAGCGGCAGCGGGTGGAAGAGGTGGTGGAAGTGCGCGTCCCACACACCGCTGTCCGGCTGCCACAGCACCGCCAGCCGTAGCTGCCTCACCCCCTCCTCTCCCACCCCTGGCCCCTCCACCACCCCGCTGCTGCTGCTGCCCCCACTGCTGCCAGCAGCAGCAGTGGCAGCATCCATACCCGCAGCGCCAGTAGCGCCAGCGGAACCAGCATGGGGGCCGTGGGGGTGGGGGACACCGACGGCGTCAACGACGGGCGGGGAGAGCTTCATGGCGAGCAGCTGCGTGATGGCGTACCCCGCACACACCGCCTCCATGCGCGCATGCAGTGGACCCTGGCGCGAGGAGGGCAGGGAAGGGGAGGGCAAGGGAGGCGAGTTGAGGGAAACGGAGAAGGGGAGGGGTGTTTAGAGATCAGCTGCGTGATGGCTGCTGAAAGGCGAGGGGTGTTGGGAAAAGTGGATAGGAGAGGGAAGCGAAGCAGCTGTGTGATGGCGTCGTCTGCACACACCACCTCCATGCGCGCACGCAGTGGACCCAGGGGAGGGGGAAGGGGGAAAGTGGAGGAAAAAGGGGAGAGAACGAAGGGGGGGGGGAGTGTGTGGGGAGGGGAGGCGAAGGGGGGGTGTAAGCGGGGGCGTGCAGAGGAGGAGCAGCTTCACGCGGGCGATGAGTGGTGCAGTGCATGGGAAGGAAAGGGCTCTGCAATGCAGCGTGCAGTGCCGTGGGATGTCATGCGTGCGAGCACACACGCTACTGCACACTCCACTGCACGCCCACACGCCCACCCTGGTAGTAAGAAGCTCACCTGTCTGAAACCCCGCCCTGCCTCAAACGGCTACATCCCCTACCCTGGAAGGCCCCTACCCTGGAAGGCCCCTACCCTGGAAGGCCCCTACCTTGGCGCGCACGACAATGTCGGGGTACGGGCACCCCGCACCTCCTGTCGCACACGCTGCCTCCGCGCCCCCCTCCGCTTCCCCTCCCCTTCTCCGCTCCCCTGTCCCCTGCTGTTTCCCCCCTAGAAACCCCCCCTCCTCCTCCCGCGTTTCACCCTCCCCTTTCCCCCCTGTCACCACCTCGCCACCCGCACCCCCCTCGCCGCGCGCGACTGACTCGCGCGCGGAAGCATCGCGGGGAGGCGGCAGGTCGTCAAGCGCGGAGGGCCACGCGGATGCGGCGCTGATGTCAGCGGAGTCGATGTACGGCCCGCGCCGCTCCACCGCCAGCGCCAGAGCCTCGCGGTCGATGGATGACGCGGCGCGCAAGGCGGAAGGGGAGAGAAACGCGCGGCGCTGGAGAATGAGCGGGAGGACGACGAGAAGCGCGCAGACTAGCGCCACGCCGGCTAGGCAGCCGTAACAGCCGGCATAGTAACCGAACTTGGCCGGCCGGTTTGGGGACTCTAACCGCCGGCCGACTGCCTTGACGAAGCGCGCCCAGGCGACGTCTAGATTGATCGCAGCGAAGCACTGGCGATTCCAGCCGGCGAGCCACGGCGCGCGACTCCGCTGCCGCTGCTGTAGCTGCTGATGGCGACGCGCGTCGGCCCTCGGGGTCGTAAAAGGCGGCATGGCTTCTACTGGAGAGGCACTTTGGGGCTGTTTGAAACTCCGGTTTTAACGGTATGAATAAAACCAGTAAGTATCATGTGCATACTACACTAAAGTGGGTCTTTCCAGCCGACATGTGCGAGGCTGCTGTGGACCATCGATGCTTCCAGAGAAGCCTCAGAATTGGTTGTTGCGGAGCTGAGGAGCAGACGAGTTTACTACGTTGCGACGAGAGCGCCCAGAAGAAGAGTCTCCTGTGATCAGCAAGATAATTTCGTGGATCTACCGTCAAAATTGCTTTCTGCTGGAAGCCAGCAAGAACCGATTCTGCTTCCGTCGACGCTCCCCACCAGGGCTGTCGATTGGTTTGGAGCCAGAACTTGAGAGGCTGAGGTGCCCCAAAAGCTGCCCTGAACTTTACGGGCTGAGAGCAAACCTGGCACTTGAAATCGGGGCTACCAAGTTTTTTGCACTTTCGCTAAGGAAAACCTACATCTATTCGGGTCCGTTATCCTAGGCAACCTACTAAGAGCCAGCTAGGCAATAGGCTGAGGTACGAACCATGTCGATGGATTTGACGGGGATGGGAAAAGGAAGTAGTGGAGTAGCTGGGAGAGGCGGGGGACTGGTGAGGGAATGGGAGGGAGGGAGGTATAGTGTGGGACGATAAGGGCTAACCGGGGGATCGGCACTTGAAATCCGAGTTAGGCCCACAACCAGCACTTTGCGGGGACGGGCTGCCCTCAAACCCAACCCTTAAACTTCGGAAGCTGGGCCGAACCCAGCCCTTAATGTTCAGGGCATTAAGGGCATTTGCCCTTGAATCGTCAGCTCTGCTCCCCACAGGTGAGCCATCGAACTGGACGGAGCGCACTGTGAAGGCGACAGTTGCGAGTGACGGAAACCGTTTCGGCAATTTCACTGGTTTGGAGGCGATGGGCGTGGGGTTCCTTGCGAAACAGGTTGGCCGAGCCGAAACATGGGATGATGTTACTCCGATATTGCGAAGTGCCGCGAAACTCGGGCTGGTTTGCAAAAACTACCCAGATTTCAGCGACCATGCCAAGCACTCGTCAATTCATGGTGGCGACTCTCGCTGGTAGAATTGTGACGCTTGGAATGCCAAAAAAACAAACGTTTTCCCCAACCAGGCATATTCTTTGTAGGGTTTTGTACCCAGTTTACCCTACAAAATAGGGTATTGTTTTGGCCACCTCGGCTACTGTCAGGGTCTGTGTATTCTTGGCCCAGCTGCATCCAAGTTTTACGTGACCCTGCCTTGAAGCGCTCTAAGGAAGTACGTGGCCTGGTTTTTCCTGAGGACAAAAACAGATAACTACGGTATTAGCCAAAAAATCATCATGTTTGGGGAGGGTGGGGAGGGGGGATTGGGGGGGTTTGGGAAGTAGAACATATCTACGGTCTTGAAAATGGCTAATTACAGAATTTATCTCTCAAAGATCAAAGACGTGCCCAAATAACAACCATGCACAAAGTGCTACGTTGCGGAGAGTCAAGTACGAGGTCATCGTAGTCTTGCATATGCTTCTACAAAACGTAGCGTTTCGTGGAGACGATCGACAAGAGATTCACTTGGAAAAAGGAATCAACAAGCATACATTGACACGTGTTACAATCCCAAGTGGGACTTAGCAAAGGATCGCTCAAGGTTGATTGCGAAGTAGTGTTGCAGCGGAAGTTTGAATCTCAGGTCAGAGTGAATGTAAATGACTGAGTTGATAATAGCATGCATACATCGAGTTTATATAAGAGTACAAGGGAATACGAAAGGACCTAGACTAGCCATGTACTCTAAGGGGTACATTCCCTTATTACAACTGAATTCAAAAACAGTGCGGCGTGGGAACCCGTTCAAAACCTGTTCCCGCTCTTTTCACTTCAAATGTTTCTGCCTGCATCGGTCTTGGTCTGACGGTTGCTGCATCGCTTCGGCTCTTCTGACTCCTCAACTTCGTACTTGGTAGAGTCGGCTCCTGCAGCATACAAGAATGCCTTCTCATAAAACTTCACATCGTAACACTCCCCTTCATTCCTGGGCGCGGGTGGAGCTGACTCACTTGACTACTCCGGTGAGATCAGAGCAGTGCTTATACTGCTGACGTGGCAGGCGCTTGGTGAGGAAGTCTGCTGCCATCTCAGTGGTCGGGCAGTAAGCGAGGTCCACTTTGCCTTGGTCAATTTCGTCCTTGACGAAAAAATACCGAAGCGCGATGTGCTTCGTGCGGTTCACGAATCCTGGCTTGTTCGCGATTTTGATGGCACTCTGGTTGTCGCAGTGAAGGCGAAAGGTAGGCGAGGTTGGAATTTTCGCCTCCTGCAGCAGCTCCTGCATGTACATGCCTTCGCGAATTGCTGCTGTCGCGGCGATGTATTCTGCTTCAGCCAATGACCGGGCAACCAGCTCCTGCTTCTGGGAGTTCCAGGAGATTGGTCCAGTTGGTTCCAGGCGAAAAACGAAGCCGGTTCGGGACCGTCGATTTGCAGGATCAACTGCGTGGTCTGCGTCCACGTAGCCGTTGAGGTTGAAGGAGGTCGTCGTCAGCGTGGAGTAGGAGAGCCCGATGTCAGGTGTGGAGATGAAGTACTGCAGGGCACGCTCCAGGCTGGTTCTCAGCTACTGGCTTGCGAGAGTACTGCGCCAGTTGGCTAGCGATGTACAAAAGGTCGGGTCGGCAGGTCACACAGGCGAATAGCAGGCACCCCAACTTCTGCTGGTACATTTGGAGTCCTGCGGGCGACAGAGGTTTGTTGTCTGGTTTGTAGTCGGTGCTCGGGCTGCGGTAGGGAGTTGAGAGTGGTGCGGGTGAGATGTTGAAGCGTTCCCCCAGCTGCTCTGCGTACTTGGAGGCTGACAGATGAATTGCTTCTGGCGTGTAAGTGATGTTTAACCCCAAAAACTGCTTTACTTCGAGGTTGATGGTGATGTCCACGCGCTGCGCCAGGTTCTCCTGAAACTGGTCGAGGAGTTTGTTGCAGGTCCCCGTATACAGCAGGTCGTCTACGTAGACTGTCAGGAGGATGTAATCGCCGCTGAAGTGGAGGCGATACATTCCCGGGTCGTGTGGGAGTTGTTTGAAGCCGATTTCGAGGAGGATTTTGTGCAGATGCTGCTGCTAGAGTCGTGGCGCCTGTTTGATCCCGTAGAGTGACTTCTTCAGTTGACAGACCCTGGGATCACCTTCTCCGTAGGTGTGCGGCTGCTCCACAAAGATGGTGGCATCCACCAACGCGTATAGAAACGCGTTCTTCACGTCGATCTGTCGCAGTGGTAGGTGCTTCGCGGCGGCAATAGCGAGTAGAATCCGGACCGAGGTATGGCGACTGACGGGAGCGAAGGTCTGATCGAAGTCTATGCCGTGACGCTGGTCATACCCGCGTACGACCCAACGTGCTTTGAAGCGCTCAATAGTACCGTCAGCTTTAGTTTTGAGACGAAAAACCCATTTCCCGCTGAGCACCCTCCTCCCCTTCACTGCTGCACGATCGACTAGGACCCAAGTGTCGCGCGATTCCAGTGCTTTCAGTTCCGCATCCATCGCAGCACGCCACTCCTTCGCGTGAGGGCCGGTTAGGGCCTGGCGAGGGTTCTTAGGTTCCACGGTCCGAGCGAGAGTAGAGACGGACGTGTGCAGGCCAAGAAGTTGAAGGCCTGACACGTTGGTGGTGTTTGCGTTGTTGGGGACTTCAATCACGTCGTCATCTCCGCTCTCGTAGCCGCGTGGTGCGGTGCTTGGTTCTGTCTGGCGCCGTGATGGTCCTGGCGTGGGGTCGTCATCGCTGTCATCGTCATCGTCGTCGCGCGGGCGAGGGGGGATGCTGGGATGTTCGTCGGTGTCATCGCGGTCCAGAACTGCTGCTGCTGCTTCATCTTCAGGGGTCGCGAAGCTGCGGCCGCTGTTGGCGTAGCCGCATGCCTGGTTACGGCGTTCGTCCTCGATCCACTGCGTCAAGGTGAGCCGTTCGTAGAAAAGAATGTCACGCGCAGGGACAATTTCCTGGTTGTCCATGTCAAGGATGAGCCATCCTTTGTGCTCGTGGCTGGGTCCTAGATGAACTCCCCAGCGCGCACGATGAACGAACTTGCCGATTGTGGCCGAAGTGGGCCGATACTACACCATGCACCCCCAAACCCTCAGCATGGAGGGATCTCCCCTTGAACCGGTCCACTTCATGTGGGGTGACAGGTTATCCCTGTTGGCGGTGGTGGAGAGGAGGTTGTGCAGGCGCACCGCGTGATTCATGGCGTACGGCCAAAATTTCTTTGGCAGGCCGGACTGGTTCATGATGGCGCGAACTTTAGTCATGAGGGTCCGATTGACCCGCTCAGCAACGCCTTGCTGCTGGTGAGCATAGGGAAGGGAAATCTTATGCTTAATCCCCTTCTCGGTGAGCACGCTCTCCAGTTCATGGCTGCGAAATTCTTTTGCCCCATCACTCTGCCAGATCTTCAGTTTCCTTCCCGACTGTCGCTGCGCGTGCGCGAGGAAGATACGGAACACCTCCGGGGCTTTGGAGCGGGCGTCAACATTGGCAACCCACACGTGGCGTGAGTAGGCGTCGATGAAGGTCAGCGTGTACTTTTCGCCGTTGAGTCCGTCGCAGGTGAGTACAATGAAATCGCTGTACACCTTTTCCAATTTCTTGTAGCGGTTGGTGCTTGGCTCCAGAGAGGGATAGGCAATGTGAGAGAGTGCGGCTGTGGGGCAGACAGTGCAAGTGGTTGGATGGGGGGTGGTGTGTTGTAACTCCGTCCCGTCGGGGCGCAGCAGTGCTCCTAGCGGAAAAACTTTTGCACGGAGGCAATTGGCGAGTGTCTGGCGCGAGGGGTGTCCCATCCGCTGGTGCCAGAGGTCATCCTCGGCACGGATGCCGGAGGTGTGCTTGTAGCGGGTGTGGTACTCTGCTGCCTCCTCCGCTGTGAGTTTTGGGATCTGGAGTGGGGGTTCTTCCTCTTCTCCTGGTTCTGCTTCGTTGTTCTCCTCCTGTGCTTCTGCTTCTGC